AAAAAAAAAAAAAAAATTCCAAAAATTCAGTAAACCAATTCTATACTTGTCTGGACTGAACCACAACGCCCATCTCTGCATGTATGTGTCCCTTTAACCAAAGTTTGTGCTAAGTTACCAATGTACAGAGAGACATGAAAAATGAAATAAAAACCATAAATATTGACTGAGCATAGCAGTGGGACAGATACTGGCAAATAAAAATGTATGGGTCAGGTCCCTGCCCTTAAGTGCTTATGATATGCTGGAGAAAATGTATGTATGTATATGTGTTTGCATAGGTATATGTATGCATGTGTGTATGTGGGTACATGTGTGTGGTTATGTGTGTATATTTGTGTATGTGTGTGTATGTGGGTATGTGTGTGACTGTGTGTATATGTATGTATGTGCATGTGCATGCACGTGTGTGTGCATGTGAGTGGGCAGACGAAGAAATACATGTGCTGGAATCTTATAAGACAATACCTAATAAGGCCAAAGGACTGGTACCAGTGAAAAGAGAATTATGATATGTATGCAGGAGGAAAGGAAAAAGAGTAGGAGAAGGTACAGAATGGGATGTGAGCACTATCAAGATGCCAGTATCCTTCAGTCCCAGAGTCGGACCTTATCAACTTGTTCCAGTTCTCAGACCCACAGGGAGAAGGAGAAAACAGGACCCTAGCCATTCCCAGACAGCACAGGACTCAGGACTCAGGACTCAGGACTCAGGACTCGGGTCTCCTGGGGCCTGGAGTTGGGACATTTCTTTTTCTCTTCTGTGTGGTTTTAGTTTTTCAGACTTTCTACCTTAAAAAAAAAAAAAAGCTTAGCTGGGCGCGGTGGCTCACACCTGTAATCCTAGCACTTTGGGAGGCCGAGGCAGATAGATCACCTGAGGTCAGGAGTTTGAGACCTGTCTGGCATATATGGCAAAACCCTGTCTCTGCTACAAATACAAAAATTAGCTGGGCGCAGTGGCAGGTGCCTGTAATCCCAGGTACTTGGGAGGCTGAGGCAGGGAGAATTGCTTGAATTCAGAAGGTGGAGGTTGCAGTGAACAAAGATCGCACCACTGCACTCCAGCCTGGGTGACAGAACGAGACTCTGTCTCAAAACAAAAACAAAAAAAAAAAAAAAGAAAGAAAAGAAAAGAAGAAAAAAAAAGCTTGACATTTTTGTTTTGATATACCTGAGAATGTTGCAATCCAGCTGGCTCTCCCTCAGGCAGGGGCTGGGGTGGGGTGGGGGGTCCTCTTGTCAAGCTCCCAACTCCTTAACTCTGACTTATCTCAGCCTACCTGTGGGGACTGTGCTGCTGGCAGCGTCTGATTACTTCCCCCAGGGCAGCAGCATCACTAGAATCATTAAACTTCCTGCTGGCCTAATACCTCCTCCAAACAGGTGCTTTTAAAGACCTTTGCAGGAGGGTGCTGGGGCTCCATTAATCACTTCTCCATGGGTGCACATAAAGCTGTCGTGTTATATCTGGGATAATAAAATCACTTTCAAGCATTACTACACCAGCTCACACTCATTTATAACATACTTCTAAGTGCTTTACAGAGCATTATTTTTTTCTGTTGAACCCACACAAAAACCTCACAAGGAGGGTAAGAGGCCAGGAAACCATCCAATTTTCCAGAGTAGACAGCCGCCTTTCCAGAAGGGCGATGGGGTTTGCTCCAATCTGGGGGCTAGTCTCTATGGTGATAACAGTCCTCATACATTGCTTTCCTTTTTTTGTTTTTATTTTACTTTTTAAAATTTTAACCACTTTCATCTCTCTGATTATTTTCACATTCTGCCTCAGATGCTCTTACTTTGCCCCTGAATTGATTTTAAACAGATGAAAACATTTCTTTCCACACTGCCAAGGCATTGGTTAGCATTCTCTTTTTTTCGTATTTTTATATTTCTTTTCATAGGTTTGTGGTTGTGACTGTATGGTAATGAGATAAATTGCCACAAGTCATAAAAAGTCACTGTGGATCTAGGAGTCAATTTCATGGATCTGCTCAATCTGTCTTCCCTCTTCTTGGGGGCAAAGTCCTCTTCTTATTATCATCGTCCCTATTTCTTAATCATCTCCAACCTCTCCCTTCTCAGGCCAAGTTCTCTACAGTCGAGGAGCCACTTTCACCTTCATTCTTCCTTCCATAAGCTACTATCCTATTTTTCACGCTGTTTCCCACTTGAAGACTCCTAACTATGGGCAATAGGTGGGTAGCAGCACCTGCTCTCTCCATCCTCCTGTCCCTCTCAGCCTCAGGTGCGTCCTCACAGTCAACGAAGCCCCAGTCCCCAGTCAAATGCCCTATTCTTATGTTTCATTCTCTTTAATTCTCCTGCAGCATTTGACCATATTGAATCTGTCTTTAACACACCTTATGCCCTTGGTCTTCAGGACACTTCTGTACCCTGGTTCATTTCCCACCTCTCTGACTTCATTTTTACTCTTCCTTTATCCCATTCCTGCCTCCTGCATCATGGAGGTTTCCAAGGGGTTGGATCCTGACCTTTTGCCCTTCTTTCTCACTCTCTGCCTACATGGGACATCATAGCTTTATTTATTCACGCATTCAAGTGTATGTCTCTTTACTGAGTTTAACAGTGTTTAGTACCATTTACTTAGGACATCGTGAGTCCTACTGTGTCCCAGACACTTTTCTGGGCCCTAGAGATTCAGTGGTGAACAGGACCAAGCGCCTGCCTGCTTGCGGCTCCCACTCTCCTGGGGGAAGAAGAGTGATGACGTTATGAAGTAAACAAATTGGGGTGATGAAATGGAGAGGGAAGAGGGTCGTTCCCTCTTAAGAGGTGACATTAGAGCTAAGCCCTGAATGATAAGAAGAGCCAGTCATGGGTGTTTCTGGGGGAAGCGTATTCCAGGGAGTGGAGCAAGGAGGTACATGGCATCTATACAGACAACTCCAAACTCAGGACCACACATCGTGACATTTTAAAGAGCTCTTCTTATCTCCACTTGCCTCCTAGCTATCACCATTGTCCTTGCAGGTTCAGTGCCAAATGCAACCCTTCCACAAAAATGGGCTCACTCCACCTTAAATTGTCCACTTCTTCCATGAGTGCCAGTTAGGCTGGAAACTTAAGAGTCACTCAGCATATAGCATCGCCCTCTTCCTTAACATTCACCATGGCAACCAGAGCCCCCACTGTCCTTCCTTTTTCACATCTGCCGCCTTTCACGCAGCTCCCTGTTGTCAAGTTATTCCCTACACAATTCACCTCTTAGTCCACAGTCAGATAACTACCATTTATTGCAGACTTACACTATTCCTGGCACTGTGCTTGGCACTTGACACACCTTGGCCCAGACTACCTGTCAGGTACTCTTAATAGCTCCATTTTACAGATAAAGAAACTGAGGATCAATATCCCCCTTAGATAATGACCTTCACTACACCATTTCATTTCTTTTTTAAAAATCTACAGGAAAAAAGATCACATTTCGTAGCAGGATCATCAAAAGCTCCAAATTTCCTTTTGAGCCACAGCTTGCCTGTTCCACCAACATGAATCCTCTGACCCTGCCAATCAATAAATGAATTTGCTTTTACCCATTGTCTTTTCTCATGCTGACCTCCATACCTGGAGTGTTTTTCCTTTTTTTCCTTTTCCTTTGTTCAAATCTTTCCTAATCTTTGCACTTCAATTCCACATTTGCTTAGTTCATAAAAACCCATATTATATATTTTGGGATCCATTTTTGGACTCATGTTTATGTATAAATTTCCTTTATACAACTATGAACTCTTGGTGGGCACAACTGTATTAAAGCAGAGAATGGTGGTTAAAAGTATGAATTCTAGGCCAGGTGTGGTGGCTCACACCTGTAATCCTAGCACTTTGGGATGCCAATGTGGACAGATCACGTGAGCTGAAAAGTTCCAGATGAGCCTGGACAGCATGGTGAAACCCCTTCTCTAGAAAAAATACAAGAATTAGTCAAGTAGTGTGTGCCTGTATCAAGTCTCTGACAGGGACACAAAGGTCCTGTAGTTCTAGCTACTCAGGACGCTGAAGTGGGAGGATCATTTGAGCCAGGCAGGTCAAGGATGCAGTAAGCTGAGATCACATCTCTGCACTCTAGCCTAAGTGACAGAGTGAGATCCTGTCAAAAAAAAAAAAAGTATGAGTTCTAGAGACAGTCTGAGAGTATGAATCTCCAAATCTATCCCTGAATTGGCATGTGATCTCTGGAGTTCCATTTCCTTATCTATGAAATACAGTTGGTGATCATAGTACCTACCTCAAAGGGTTACTGTGAGGTTTCGGTGAATGCATGCACATAAGCATGTGGCGATCCTGGTGCATAATAAACACTCAATAGATGTTAGCTCTTCGCAGCTCACATTCTGGGAATAACGTGGCCTTAATGAGTATCCTTTTACTAGTGATCTATTCAGATTATTAGCTATGTGTATAACAGTGTCCTAGCTACTACAAGGATAGAGGAAAGTGCCCATATGAGAGTAGAAGAATGGCCACTGTGGATCTGATTCATCCCCTGTTGTTTGTGGGAGAGGTGAGGTATAGAAGTAAAGGTTAGGAAGTCAAACTGCCTGGGTTCAAATCTTGACCCTTCATTTCTGTGTTGCTGGTTTTACCATCTGAAAAAAATGGGAATAATATTATTATCTGTTTCAGAGAGTTCTTGTAAGGACCAAATAGTAGGAAAATAATTGGAAAATGCTTAATACTCCATATATGTTGGCTATTGATATTATTACGAGTTAGTGTTGACCTAGCTCTGTATCAAGTCTCTGACAGGGACAAAAAAGCTTCTGAGAAAAAGGTCACAAATCAGGTCTAAGAAAGCCAGAAAAAAAAAGAATAAGAAGACAAGACTTGCTACTTCTGGTGACTCCTAGAAAATACTGGGTACCTGGGGAAGGTGAGTGCAGATGCAGAAAAAAAGCTCAGGGGTCTCCGAGGGTCCCCCAGTTGCCTGTCCCACAAGGCTTCCCTACTTAGGGTGACATTTAAAGGCATTGAGTGGTCTTGGGCAATGGCATTATTTTTTACTCCACCCTCATTCTCAATTTCCACATTCAACTGGTCAAGACAGACCCATGTTCTTTCTTCAGCGAGCTTAATCTTCTCTCAGGTCTATCCTTTCACCGTCTGCGCCACTGTCTCTCCCTTGGTTCACACTCAAGGTTCAAATTTCTTCCTCAGATGATTGTCATAGCCTCCAAACTTTCCATCACCTCCAGCAGTAGCCTCTGTAATAACACTCCACACAAGCAAAACCAACCTGCTTGAGAAACATGACTGTAAGCAAGAACTGTATTAAAATATTGAAACGGTGAGCCACCACACTACATCTCCAGACTATTAACAACCCCCTGCTGATCCACGTGCCATTTCAATGCTGTTGATAAAAGCAGAGGCAGAGGTGAAATTTTAAATGAGTGAAAGATTGATTGCATGGAGCCATAAATTCCAAATGAGTCCACTGAAAACAGTGCCTCTAAATCTGTCTCACGCCTCTTTATCTACCTCCTCCCGTTTTAGACAACAGTTTCAAAGTAGAATATAAAACACTTTCAGGACCCAAGGAAGTTTAAAGGGAGACGAGGCAACTTAGTGACACTGAGCAGCTCACTGGTGCTGTGAATATTTCCAAAGTGAAATATTCACTTTTCGATATTTGTCAGAAGCCCACTAAAAAATCCCCAGAGCAACCACTGTATCACCAGCCTGAGCTCCAACTTCATTTGTCGATTTTTGGCTCACCGCTCAGCTCCTGGTAATACAGAGCTTTATGTTTCTTCCAAAGTATCTGATACGCGAGCTAGCTGGGGTTCCCCTGTAAGATGATCATCTCCCTGAGAGGAAGGGCGAGGGCTTCAAGAGACTTACTTTCTTATTCCGACTCTACCGTCACTTGGTTCTATGACCTGTCTTTAAAGTACAGGAGTTGAATTAGATGTGTGGCCCCAAGCTGGGGATTGTAAGCCCATGGTGGGTAGCAGAGATTTTTTTTCAAAAGTTCATCAAATCCATAGCAACTTATTCTATTCTCAATCTGCAGATATTAAAAATAACTGTGATTCTGTGGGGACCATCAAATTAGATTTTTGAAATGCATCCTTGTACTCATGGCAAAACATCAGCTAAGAGCCCCTGTAAGGTCCTTGGCTACTCTAACGCTTATTCATTCCTCTGTTTAATGTATATTCACTGAAGGCTTCTCCTCACCAGGTACTTGGCTAAGTGCACTGGAATCTGAGGTGGACAGCGTATAATTTTGGCCTCAAAGAGCAAAGAACATTTAGCTGACAACTGCAACCCAGCATGA